TCTTTTCTTTTCTTTTCTTTTCTTTTCTTTTCTTTTCTTTTCTTTTCTTTTCTTTTCTTTTCTTTTCTTTTCTTTTCTTTTCCTTTCTTTTCTTTTCTTTTCTTTTCTTTTCTTTTCTTTTCTTTTCTCTTCTCTTCTCTTCTCTTCTCTTCTCTTCTCTTCTCTTCTCTTCTCTTCTCTTCTCTTCTCTTCTCAGACACAAATTTGAGCTGGTCTTCTGAAATTGTTTCGAGAGGGAGAAGGGAGGAGGTTCCTCAGCTAAGTGCTGTGTCTTTCCTCATTAGGTTTTGCCATGTAGGTACACAGAGGATCTTTTGATGAGGCCCTTAACAAAATCAGACCAAAAGCTTTTAAGGAAGGTAAAAAGTACAGCATTATCAAATACTTTACCAGGAAACCATTTGTCTGATAAAATTTCCTTTATCTGACTGATGAAGAAAAAAAGACTTATGGGGATTGTAAATCAAAATGAGAAAGGAGAATACAAATTGTTTAAAAATTGTTTAACCCAGTTCTAACACAAGCTCCTTTTAGGAGTTTCTTATTTTGTTCTTTCTACTTATGCAGGGTTGCAAAATTTTCCATGGATACTCATTACAGGATACTTCCCACTGTGCTGAGTGGTGCCTAATGACCATTAGTCATTATGGTGCTAATAGTACTGATTTGCTTTTAATGGGTGCCAAGGTAACTTGAGTGTTTATTCCGTGAAAGATGCTGTGGGCAAGGGGAGGAAGAAGACTTAACAGGATGGCACAGGACTGGGGCTAGTCTGGGCTGCTGCATGGGAATCATCTTGGATGAGAACACGTATGTGACAACTGCACCTCTGAACTGTGCTGCTTCTGAGGTAGTGTTGGGGAAAATCATTATTTTAAAAATCCAACAAACCAACAAGGCAAATCAGCAAACCCAGAGTGTCATCCTGAAACTCAGGCAACATCCTAGCAGTAGAGTCTGAGATCCTGTGGCATTCCTACTTAGGCTGGCTTCTCCCTCAAAGAAGATCAGATCAACCTGGACAAGCTCCACACTAATCACTCTACTGACAGCTTTATTTTCCACCAAATGTAAAAGTAAGGTTTGGTGACACACAGTGCAGGATCTGCCCAAGACCTGCAGATGTAACCTGGAAAACCCGAAAGACTTTTGTTTTAAATTATTAGTCCAGATGCAGGTTTTCTGGAAGAATAAACAGGTGACTGTGGATATCCCTTGAGCTAGCAGCGACGTACTTCACAGAGACAACCCTGACAAGAGGCTGTGAGCAGTAAACTAGTAATTTGCAGGGAAGTCTGGGTTTGGACTGAAACCTCACATCCTACCAGGGATAACAAGAGTATGGTGCTAAAATAACACAGATGCTCCTGAAAATGCTGAGGAGTCAGACTCTGGTCTATACTTAGCACTATGAAATTGCAGTACAGCACCCACAAACTAAAATCCATCACATGTAGACCTTCTATTTAATTGAAAACTGAGATTTTGGCTATTGCAATGTCAAGCTTGTAAGAATAGAGAGAGATGAATGAAGCTAAACAAAAACCTAAACAATTTTGATTTAAAGTCTGTGAAATGGCACTACTTACTGAAAATGACACATTGTGTATCTAGGTTGGAAAGGGGTCAACAACAGCATTGGTATCAAATGAGCCTTCTGAGGTTGTGACCACAGATGGATGTGTACTGTGACTGCCTTCTCCAGCTTCTAGAGGGTCTGGGAAAGATGCTGAATTCACTTTTTCCTTGAGGAGCTCTAAAGCACTAAAACTGCTTGAGGAGTTTCCAAAGCAGAACCAGTATGGGTCCAGATATGTGACCTCCAGAGTGTTATGCTGCCAGGAGAAAATGTTGATCTCACTAGGGTGATGTTTTTCTCCTGCTGATTGAAGAAAAAGAAAAAAGCTTATTTTCCTGATAGAGTAATGTATAAAAACATCACTTGTCTTCAAAATGCTGTATCATAAAGAAATCATGGACTGGGGAAGAACTTTCTATTTACAAGGTGCTTGTAAATCAAGCAAGGATCCCAAATGGTATCACCTGCAGAAAGTGTTGACTACAGCTCCTTCCAGAAGTCCCCACAAATAGTCTGTGGTTATTGAGTTCAGCTGGTACAGCCACATGTCCAAAGATTGCTTATATAAGTCTGAGTTTCAGGCTACACTCTCATGGGTATAGTAACAAACCTGTCATCACCAAAAACTGAAATCACATGTATTCATTCATTGGATTCGTATTGTGTGCTCCAAGCAAAGATTTGTTTAGTTATGTTTGGAATACTCCAACTTTGGTGAAGTGAGCCCTAATTTGAAAATGTTGGTGCCTAGGAATGTCAGGCAGCTGCAAATCTGCACTGCAGTGCTCATGTGGGAGCATCAGACAACTGCTTTTCTCCTGATGTTTAGAAGAAAAATCTGCAGTAGTCTGGAGTTCAACTTTCTCAAAAATTCTAGAAATCTGTCCGTCATATCAACTGTTTTTCTGCAGGACTTGCATAGTGTCTTTGAAAAAATGTCAGTGATTTGTAAAATAATATGTATTGGTAACAGTGTATCCTCAACATAGCTTTTTTTATAAAAGCCTAAGAACACAAATGTATAAATAATTCTGTTAAAGTAACTCTTAAATAACCAGACTGAGCATCAAGCTGCCTTTTCAGTGTGTGGATCCTGGCAGAGGGGACACAGCACAGCAATGCTTGTCTTCTTCCCTGGTGGCAGAGCCAGTTCTACTTTGTCTCGTTGTTTCACACTGGAAGTTCCTGCTCACCAGATTTTGTACCAAAAGTTAATACCAAGGGTCAGTCTCTTTCAGCATCACAGCCTTCAGGCTACATTTTCTATCATATACCTGTGGCTTCATTTTTTTAACACTTGATCTCCTGGTTCTGCATTTTTTTTATTCCTTCTCAAGGAATATCCCTGGATGTTATTGAACCAATGTCAATAGGTGATATTTTAGGGATTTTAATTTAATTGCTTTTTGTCATATTCCTTTCACTTTCATAATAAGAGTGCTTGTCATTCTAGGTTGTAAACTTGACAAAAACATCCATGACCATGACAAGCAACTCAAAAAATTCAAGAGTAATGTCCAGACACTTTCATGATGGCCATTTCCATGGCCATTGGATGGAAAATTCCATTTCCATGGCAATTTCCAAGATTTCTCTTGGAAATCTTACTTTAGACTCACTATCAAATCAGCAGGCAGGAATCTCATCCCTCAGCCTATGTACACTTTATATGCACATATTCATTTATAAGCTCCACATTTCAACAGAATTTTCTTTGCTTTAATACAAGCTGTCTTATGTGTGTGTAAGTGCCTGGGGGCGGGGATGGGAGTGTTTTATATGCAGGAACAAAATGTATTGCATCAGTTCAAAGTAAAAAAAGCTCATCAAAATGCTTAAAAGTTTTAGAGATGGGTATTTTTTTTTCCACCAAAAAACATCCTCCTTCTCAAAAGAAAGGTTTCTTCTCCTGTTTGCATTAGAAACTTACCACTGACTTCAGTGAAAACAGGTTTGGGTTCTATATTTTGCTGCGTCGAAAAATTCTGGAGACATTTTCCTTAGACGGAGTAACTGCGAGCTAATCTTAATTTGTGGGAAATGTTTCTGTGGTTGTCCAGAAGATGCAGAGATTTGGCACCCTCTAACTGATACATTTTTGGCTTTTGTGTGCATTTATAGGCTTGACTGGCTAAGGAGGCTGTTTGCACAGGGCGTAGAGCATGGGGATGCTGTCCCTTTCTGCAGAGCAACACATGCCCCCAAAGGCCCCAAGTTCCTCCTCCTGCTCGCCTTCTGTTTTGTGTTTGTTCTGCTAATTTTAACATTATAAACAAGAGGGGGAAACTAAACCCAAAGGCCAATTATGCTCTCTGAATCCATCTGTCCAATTGGGACAAAAAAGTGTAGAGACTGTTCATCTAGATTTAGAATACTGGACGCCTATTGAGCTTTGTGAAGGCTGCACAGGAAGGATGCTCTTCATTTTCTTGCAAAAATCAAGTTGTTGCAAGAGAATGAAGAGCTGGCTGAAAATCTATATCCACCAGCTGCTTTCTGAACTAGATCAAGACAGAAAACAAGGCAGTGAGAGGTAGGGGCCAGGAAGTGCCTTCCTCCCCTCCGAAAGCAGCCGTGTTGGCTCCCACACAGTCAAATAAATACATAAGGTGCAGAACAGCAGTCATGGGCCTAAGCTGCTGCTTCCAAGATCAGCCACCTAACAAAGCTTTCTAACAGGAGGAATGATGATGGATCAGAGTTAATTCTACCCAAAGGGAGAAGGAGAAAGGAGAAGATAAAAAAAGAATTGCACTGATAAACATCATAATTGGAAGGCTAGACAGACACCTCTCAGGTCTGCCACAGGAAAAAGGTGATCCTGCCTATGAGTCAGGGTTTGGCTTAGGTGGTCTCAGAAAGTTAATTTCTACCTGGGAAGTGCATTACTCAGATAAAAATTTTTAATGAGTTCTGGAAATGTGAAATGCACTTAGCTTCCTGGTTTTACCTTAGTGAGAGTGCTCCCAGATATTGGTAACAGCTGAGGAGCAAACAGCAAAGATCACAGATCCATAGAATGGTTTGGGTTGGAGGGGACCTTAAAGATCATCTAGTTTCAACACCTCTGTCATGGCCAGGGATGCCTGCCACTAGATCAGTTGGCTTAAAGCCCCATCTAAACTGGCCTTCAACACTTCCAGGGATGGACATCCACCATGTCTCTGAACAACCCGTTCCAGTGCTTCAACATGCTCACAATAAAGAATTTTTTTCCTAATATGTAAATATTATACATCTAGATCTCTGTATCTAATATCTAATGCCAAAAAGCATTTAAACTATGTCCTATGTGGCAGATGGACAGACAGCTAGAATTGTAAATACCTTAACAAAGATATATATGAAGCATAAGCAACCATTTTAAAATGGTACTTTATCCTTAAAAGTACATATGTTAAAAGCTATTCCACCTCACAGAACATCAGCATCAGAGCAGATACACTCAGTGAAAAGTAAAAAACCTGAAATTAGATTTAATTCAAATGAAAGGGAATTAATTCTTCCCCACACCTGAGGAGACCTGTATAGAAATGTCATTGCTGAGGTATCCACTTGTGGGAGCTGCTATGAATCAGTGCCCAGGATTACACTGCACCTAAGTGCCTCCTCTTGCAGAGTGCTTGTAAAAGAGGGGAAAAGACAACAACCACAACCAAGGGAAATGAGAAACTCTTTGCTATAAAGCTTTCTGGCTTTTCTAGTCGGTCTAATAAAACTCTTGCCCTCCAGTTTTCTCTCCCAGGAGAAGTAAGAAGTTTTTTATGAACCTGAGTCAAGGTATTTGGAAATTTGGCAACGTCTGCAGAAACCAGCCTGCTGATGAGGAAAAGAAAGCTAAATCAGTCTGCTTTTGCCCTGAGCAGAGGGCTGGATAAATAGTCTTTTTCTAACAATGATTTTATTTTTGTCTCCTCAGGCAATTAATTTAAAACTTCAACAGACATGAGTCCAAACTCATCATAAGAATAGCTGAAAGCAAACTAGTCTTTATTTGTACTAGCTTGAGATTAACAGAAGTTTTAAAATGCAGATTGTAGGTAGCACAGCAAAGATCCAAAACTATCCTAACCTGAGCCAAAGTCAGACTGAATCAAGAAAGAAAGGTAGAAATGGCTCACCTCTGTACTCACTGGTCTCAAACTTTGCTTCCAGCTCTGGTGGTTAATGTATATCACTTCATACGAAGAATTTGCATCTCCTCAGTATGTGTAACTGAAAGCAAAGCCAACTGTGTCTTCTTCTCTAGTGCTCCCTGCAAAAGAAAAGAAAAATTCAAAACAAGGACATAAAATGCATAGAATGAGAACTAAAAATTTCTAAAAACCTTCATACAATTACTCTGTTTACAGTGATCACTTGAATTGTAGGCATTTTCCACTTTAAAATGTAAAAACAATTTTCAGGTATTTGGGAAATGGAGCAGGAGAAGGCCAAGGTGGGAATAAAGCTTAAAAAACCAATACACAATTTCTGCTACATTTACATGGCTATATTGCTATTCTCCCCAGCACATCTTTAATCAACATTAATAAAATAAGCATGGTGCTTTGTCCTTTCACTTAGTTTAGGAGGTTAAGACAACAAACAAAATTTGAAGTTTTTTTCTTTAAGATATATACTTTAAAACTTGTTTGAGAGCAGCCGGGTTATCATGTGTGCCTGAGGAAATGTATGATGCTGACAGAGGCATGGGTGGAATGTGTCCACCTTGCTCTTCTTGAAGCACTGGACTTGGATCAAGACAGAAAAGTTTTCTAACCCCTTCTACCTGTGCTGGCAGTAATGTTCCCTAGGAACCCATCCTGCTGGCTCAGCATTCCAAAGACAACATCCAGTTCAACCCAAAACCTTTCCTTCTCTAAGTTCCCTGTCCACATCGAACACAAACTGGATTGTCAGTGAAGCTGGTTTTATTCTGCATAGGCATTACCCCAATGTAAAAAGCTTCCAGCTGGATCTGCAAGATGCTTCTCTAACCCTTTTGCATTGCATTGATGTCAAAATCTGGATTCATGGAGATCAATCCAATGATAAAAATAATTACATTAAAAAGGTAAGTAAAAGGTGATTAATTTACATTTCATAGGTGAGAGCAGAATTCTTGTTGCCCTCTATTAGAAAGATGATGTAGCTATTGGCTATCTACTTTACAAAATTTTTTATAAGACTTTGCATTAATTGCTAGTATCAAATCAATGTTCAATATTCATGAATTTCCTGCATGGAAGGTAAACTGTGTAAGAGCAGCAGGCAACTAACTAAAAGCATGCCACATAGTACAGGGTACATCAGAAATAGGCTGAAACCTAACCTTTGTATGCCTTTGAGAAATCCTGCTGCCTGCAAATGAACGGGACACACAGCTCTTGCTGGACTGGTCTCTAGCAAGAACACCTCAATGCCAGGATACACCAGCAAGGATAAACCAAGTGATAGTAACTACCCATGATCAGGCCAAATCTTCATAATTAATTGACTCATTAAGGAACAGTAGAGAAGCACACACTTGAAAAACAGGATGTCATCCAGAGGGATCTGGGCAAGTTTAAGTGAGCTCAAGGGAATCTCATGTGGTTTAAGAATTCCAGGTGCAGGATGCTGTATCTGGCTTGAGGCAGCACCAGCTATCAACACAGTTTGGGGGATGAACAGACTGAGGGCTGCCCTGCTGAGAAGGACTTGGGAGTGCTGGTGGGTGAGAGGCTGGACATGACCCAGCAATGTGCACTCAGCCCAGAAATCCAGTTGTATCCTGGGCTGCAGCAGGGTGAGGGAGGGGATTCCTTCCTTCTATCTGCTCTGGTGAGACCCCACCTGGAGAGCTGCATCCAGCTCTGGGGTCCTCAGCACAAAAAGGACATCGGTCTCTTTGAGCAAGTCCAGAGCAGGCCACCAAGCTGATCCAAGAGAGGGAGAACCTCTCCTATGAGAAAAAAGCTGAGAGAATTTGGATTGTTCAGCCTAGAGAAGAGGCATCTTAGAGATAACCTAATATTGGCCTTCCAGTATCTCAAGGGAGCCTAGAAGGAAGAAGAGGAGCGACCTCTTACAAGTGACAGGACAAGGGAGAATGGCTTCAATTTGAAAGAGTAGGTTTAGATTAAGTATTAGGGGAAAATTCCTCCTCCCTGTGAGGGTGGTGAGGCACTGGAAGAGCTTGCCCAGAGAAGCTGTTGGATGCGCCATCCTTGGATGTGCTCAAGGCCAGGTTGGATGTGGCTTTGAGCAACCTGGTCTAGTGGAAGGTGGCCCTGCCCATGGCAGGGGAGTTGGAATTAGCCAATATTTAACACAGACCATTCTATGATTCTCTGACTTTTTAATCAGTACTTCAGTATATGAACCATGCCATGCAATGGTTTGAGGGAGCAATGGACAAGCTGATATTTAGTAATGTAGTAAGAGTTTTTTAAAAAGAAAAAAACTTGCTGAATCTCTCTGGGCTTGGTTAGGTGACTGCCTTCCTCCAGAAGAGGAGGTTCAGTTCAGAGAGGGTGGTAACCTGATGTCTCCCTGTGCTCCTGCCAGCAGCATCACTTATAGGCCAAGATCAGATTTAGAATGATTTAGACTGTGTTTTCTGCATATGTTTTGTCTTCTAACGGTGCAGAGAATTTCTGGTGAAGTTGCCAAAGTCTCTTAATGTGAGTTCTGGAAATTTTGCAGCCCTACCCACAAAGTGCCTCTTCTACTAGGGAAGTTTTATTGCATGAGCATTGTTCTTGGGATTATGAATAGCAGCAAGTTGAAAAAGGTTGGTTTTGTCACAGTATTTGTAGATCAAGTGTGCATCTCTGTAAAACTGTTTTGATGATTTATTTTTATTGAAAAAATATTTGCTGAAAATTGGAAAGGAATAGGACTGCTATTCCTGCACTTGTACTGGTGTGAATGTTGCCATCACAATGGGGTGAGCAGTGCTGCTGAGTGTGTGTAACGCTGGAAGACAGGAAAGCATCACCACCAGGTCTGGGTAGAAAGTTACAAGGATTTGGGAGGTACAGACTTCAGAGCTGCAGAGAAGCAGCAGACTGACCCTTGAGCTCTGCACAGACAAAATCATTCAGTCCCATAGGAGATTTCAAGAATTCAAGCATTGTTTCCATTCCAACTCTCAGTCTCCAAAATGCCAATTTTCTCTGCATAGGCAAAGTAAAGCTCAGGAGCACTCTGGTGCCAGTTCCAGAGCCATGGAACGGGAATGCCCTGGCCACTGGCTCTGCCAGCACAGGACTCCCATGTTGGGCTGGGTGGAACTGCCCACCCTCCATGGCCACTGCAGCGCCCCAGAAATAGCACAGCTGTTTCCTGTGAGTGTCATCACTTATACCCGACCCACTACAGCAAAACTCTGGCTTGTCGTGCCTGACATACTGAAGTGTGTCCAAGGCACTAGATGGTCCTCCTGCTTTGGCTTTTGGCAGAATGACTGGGAAGATCCCAGCCAACCACAAGTTTGTGTGCGTTGAAGTTTTCCTTCTGTGCTTGTGTGCTGTGAGAGGAGCAGGGGGCAGGACATGCAGGGGGCAGGGTCGTATGGGGGGTGTGCAGCTGTTCCTCTGACAGCATCTGCAGTGCACACCTATCTCCAGCCCTGCTTCCCTCATGGCATCTGCATCCACGCTAGTTGGGAAACCCTATTTCTGTCTGCTGTGCTGGGCAGCCCAGCATGCTGTGTAGGATAGCCCATCACCCCTCCCTGTACTGCAACATCCCATGTTGTGTACAGGCTCCTAAAATGTCATCAGCACCACCCTCACCAAACTGAGAAGTGCTGGAGTACTTCAAGTACATTTTGCACTCTTTTGTACAAATGCTTATACAATGCATGCTCTGGGAAGCACTAGCTGGACTTCAGTACCACTGCTGTGCTTTAAAGGCAGCAATTTTAAAGGCAGTACTAGATGTGTAATTCAATCATTCTTTTGAAGAGTGAGTTTGTCATCTCCATGTGATTGAAACTTTATCTAGGGATTTCTGTCATCTAAGAACATAATGCACAGTCTTATTAGAAAATGAAGAAAAAACCTGCATTTAAGAAACATTCTTCATTCCTTCATTGTCCTTGCCCTCAGAAAAGATAAATGTGCACTTTTGGAACTGTCCTAAGGATCCCTCCCTCCTTTAGCACACAATTTTAAAAAGGCTGAGTGCCCCCAGTTAGGTGCCAAGGTCACACCTTTGGCCTTGGCAGGGCCTATCACACACCTGCAATTTCTCCTTAAATTAATCCATATCTACTTGCAGGTGTTAACAATTTTGTAGAGGAGAATCTAAACACTCAGCATCTCACAATTTTCTGTTTTGTCAGTAATTTCAGTCTGTATATTTGAAGTTACTGCTGTAATTACAAGAACGGTCACACTAATCTATTCCCTCTAAAGATTGCTTTCATTTCACCAGTATTTAATTTTTTTCCCCCTCTAATTTCTTATGATGCCTTAGGTACAAGTGATTTTTGGTGCTTATCCTTTTATAAGCATTTTCTTTTCTAAAAGTTGTTTTGTACTTTGATATATCCCTCACATTACAATGGGTGGCTGTATTCTAGAAACCCTAGTGACACTTGTGAAATATTATCATGCAGAAGCCAAAAAAAGGGAAGCATTACTAATTTCCTTTATGTACTAATTTGATCGGTTTTTACTGAATTAGTATGTATTTTTGGTTGAGTACCAGGCTCTTTCTCTTTCATTTAAATGTGAAGAACACACATTGCAAATAGCATACCTTCCTTTTAAGGAAGCTCAGGGCTTTTAAGGGTCAATATGACTTCTTGTGATCCCCAACTTTCCCGTTTTGGGTGCCACGCTATTTTTTTTTTTGGTTTTTTTTTTTGTTTTTTTGTTTCCGTCCAGATCTGCAGAGGGCTGGGGAGCATTCCCCCAAGAGCATCTTTCTGCTCGTTGCTCTCGCCGGCGCCGCGGCGGTGATGCTGTGAGCAGGGCAAGGGGAGGGAGGCCGCTGCTGCTGCTGCGGGAGCGCCGGGGACCGCATGGCCGGGCGGGCCGACTGGCGGAGCCGCCGGGGACGCCAGCGCGGTTTTGAGATGTGCTTTTGTAGCCGTCTCAGTGCAAACCACGCGGGGGGTCCCCGTTTTCCACTTTAAAAATCAAAAAGAACTCTCCCGACGGGGGATCTCCTGCTTAGCTCCGTCCGTCCGCCGCACCGTGCGCTCCTCGCACTGAGTGAGGAGGCGGCCGAGAGTGGAGAAGCGCTCCTTTGCCTCCAGGCTTCCTCCCGTGAATTCTTCCAGCGGAGTTAGGGTTGCCGGGAGGTCGGGGAGGTCTCCCGTCCACCGCCTTCCCTCCGCTGCCCCGGTCAGGAGGGCGGTTTTGGGTCGCTAACGCGAACTCCGAGCATCT